GACTGAGGGTGCACGTGATCCCCTCACCCAGGTCAGCGATAGAGATATGACTTAAAGATATTAAAGATATTTTAATTAAATATATTTAATTATCCTCCTTGCATTTTAGCTTCTTTCTCTGGCCACCTCCACCCCTCTGAACTCTTGCACCAGTCCTGGGACCCAACATATCTTAGGCCACTCATCCCTAGGCACTAATTAAAAGGTCTAATTAAAAAATGTGGGATATTTGCCCAGGACACAGAGTCCCCCACCTAGGGAGTGTTCCCAGCAGGTTCCCACAGGTTACCCCATGTGATATCGTTTGGGGGAGGCTCCGTTTCCAACCTATTACCGTTTTAACCGCAGGGATGCCCATCACGCCTTGGAGCACAAAGCCCTTCTGACGCGCCTCGGAAAAACCTTAAATAGCCCAGCACAGGCCCCCTCAGACACTGCATTTCCCCGACTCCATCAGGTGGGTCAGGATCAAATCCCATTGGCGCTTGAAAGCCTCCAGGACCCACGTCCCCAGCTCCAGTCATCAGTGACAAAGAGCATTTGCCATCGTCCCGCCCCAGCAAGGATGAGCCTGCAGTGAAGGTAAGGCTCCCCCCAAGCCCCTTTTTCATTGCTAACACGGCTCAGAGCTGGTTTTTGCCAGGGTTAAGGATCGCTTCCCTTTTTTTTTTCCTTGCTCATATAATTCAAATGGCTGAACAGATTTTCTTCAAAGGCTCCAAAACAGGCAGGGTCTAGTGGAAAAAAACAAGGTTACGTAGAGTTAGCTCCGAACAGAGTCTGGGAAATTAAAAAGTATTGCAAATTGGGGTCTGAGAGGCTGCCTGTTCGTAACACACACTCACAGGGTAAAGCTGGTGGAAATGGTCAGAGAGACGGGGTGAGTGGTGCTGCTGCTGCCAGCAATGTCCCAGGAGAGGACGTCATGGGAGATTTTGCACGCAGGGTGTGGGGACTGTGACCCTCCTGCCCACCTCTGCCCCACAGGGAAGCCTGTGCCATGCCAGGGTGGGCAGCATCTGGCCCACAAACCCACCTGGGTCACCAACCCTGCCGTGGTGGAGTCAGCACCCTGCTGTGATTAACCCATGCAGCTCAGAGACCTGTCCGGTCTCATTGACGGGAGCCCCTCTGCCCTAAGGACTCTCGCAGTAATTGCAACTCCGGGCACTAAAATGTTTGGCAGCTTGGGTTGCAAAACACAGCAGCGTGGGGTCATGGCCAGGCTGTGGAGATACCACGTCCCCTACTCCATAGCCTGGGCACAGCTCCCCTCTGCGCAAAGCCCCTGCCTGCCTGGCGAGGCTGGAAAACAGATGGTTCCACCCCCTCTGGTCTCTGGAAAGCCTTGGCAGCTCCCAAGGGCACCCGGATTAGTCCCAGCACCCCTCATCGTCCTCTGTAATGGGAGATGCCACCTTTGGACTTGCCATTGGAGATTAGGACACCTCCATGGGACACTCACTCGTGCTCCAGCCTGGATGTTTCAGCACTTCATTGCTTTTCTTGGGGGGAAAAAAAAGCAAGAAAGTGCAGGTGATCTTCCCACCAAATCATACGGATGCAGGCATGGAGGAATCAAGAAAACCTCAGGATATCAGGAGACACGTGCTTTGGCAACAGTAGTTGTTTGACAACGATTTCCAACAGCTTCTGAATCCCAAAGGGCAAGTACCAACGGCTGGCAACTCCAGATAGTCTGTTTGGAGGGGAGGACGTGTAGAGAGCAACCCGACACGGGTACGTCTCCACTGCAAAATTCCTGCATCCCTGAAGGCCGTGTCTCTAGGCACACCCAGTGGCCCAGCCTCGGATAAGGGTATTAGAGCATTTTGGCAGCAGTGAGGACCGTGGGATGGGCTCCAGATGACTCGTAAGGATGAGGAGGACATCCTCGTCCCGGGTGGATCAGGCACCTGGGAAGTGGCCAGAGCCGAGGTGGCAGAGGTCACTGTGCCCTTGCAGGTGACCCCATGAGCGCAGCCTTGCAGGTGACGGCGTTCGGGCTTGGTCTTCTCTCAACCCTCTTCTTGCTCCTTGCCACGTGCACTGACTGCTGGATGGTGAACGCCGATGACAGCTTGGAGGTGAGAGAGCAGCCCCCCTCAAGGTTAGCAGCTGGGAGCAAGGTGGATGCCTTGAGTTCCGTGAAGTTGCACCATGTCTCCACGGACTTGGAAAGGGGACGCGGTGGGACAAACTCACCGCTTCCCGTGTGAGTTAGGGAGAGAGAGCAGTGCTGGAGCAGGAGACAGAGAGCAAGGCATGTGCAGGGAGTGCCCGGCTGTGGTGGCGAGCGCTCCAAGATCTGCCTTGCTGGGCTGGGATATCCCCGGGTAGCTGGGGTGCGTTTGGGTTGCGTTGTCTTTCTCCTGCTTCCAGGTGAGTCACAAGTGCCGGGGCCTTTGGAGAGAGTGTGTCACCAACATGCAGGATGGGGTCAGGACCTGTGACCAGTATGACTCCATCTTGGCTGACCATCCAGGTAAGACGGCATGGCCTGGAGGCATTTTTTAAGTTCACAGCCCAGAGTTTCCCCTTCTCCCTGCTCGAGACGACGATCCCCGTTGCGACGGGCTGACCTTCAGCAGCCAGCAGTGCGAGCCCAGGGCGTTTCTCGGTCCCCTGCCCCATCAGCACGGCCTGAACAGCGACCCACGGTTCAGCCAGACCTGCCGGGGGGTGGCCAAGCAGGAGGGGGCCATGAAGCTGTGCCACCTCACAGCAGCGGCGTTTTGGCACACAGAGCCCAGGTCCGGCTCCCGCCGTCCACGACGCGGCGGGATTTGCAGCCCCGCTGGCGTTGCACACAGGGGTGAAGACCATTCCCGCTGGCCAAGGATCTGCATCCTCAGCTCACGGGCAGTCACACCGTGGTACGGAGACTTCTCCCGGCCTGCGCAGGTCCCGACAGGCCCTGCACGGAAGAACCCTTGTGAAGGGTGGTCACGCGGGACCACACAGATCGGGGCGGTGGAGGAGAGAACAAGAAGTCAGCGTGGACAAAGCGGGGCTGGTCTCAGGGAAAAGCTTAGTAGGGAGAAGCCACACTGCACACAGCTGGCAATGTCACCCTGCCAGTTCCCGTACTTTCACCAGTAGGTCGACATCTGCTGCTCAAAACACCAGCTACACAGCTTGGAGGAAAAACCAGAGTCTGGCAGCAGCATCTTCTGTTCAAGCCTGTGCAAGAAGGTCTTGAACAGGTCACTACGACCTGGGGGCTGATCAGGGCACCCTCAGTGGTTTGGTTGCTCGAACCGCTCGGACGGGTTTATTAAGCCTTATTGCAGGGTCCCTGACGAGCCTGGTGAGCACCCTGTGTACGGCAGGCAGGGCGTTAGCGGTCCCGGTGCAGAGATCTCCCCGGGATGTGCCCAGCGGTGGGCTGGATGGCTCTAGCCAGGGACAGGCAGCAATCTGAAGGGGGGAGACCAGTTCCTCTGACCACTGCTCAGGCCTTTTTCTGGTGTTTTTTTCCCTCCCTGCCCAGTGAAGATTGTGGTGACACGGACCCTGCTGATCACAGCAGACCTCCTGGCCGGCCTGGCATTGGCTACGCTGCTGCTCGGACTCGACTGCATCAAATTCCTCAAGGAAGAGCCTCGTGTCAAGCTGAAGCTGTGCTACGGGGCCGGCGTCACCCTTGGTGTTGGGAGTGCGTGGCTGGGAGAGCTCGGGGACAGACGGACTTCGTGTCCCGCAGGGGGGTAGATGCCGTGAGCTAGGGGTGTCCCCTCAGAGGGGTCTCGGGGAGCATGGGGGGGGGTTTAGGGCTCGCTCTTAACCAGCCTCATTCCTCCTAGGCATCCTGGGTTTTGTGGGCTCCGTATGGTACGCGGTGGACGTCTACTTGGAGAGGGCTATGCTGGTGTCACACAACATATTCCTGGGGGTCCACTATGACTTCGGATGGTCGTGCTGGCTGGGGATGGCTGGCTCAACAGGCTGCTTCGTGTCATCCGTCCTGCTGACCTGCTGCCTCCACCCCCGTGCAGGTCAGTCTGCCCTGGCCCAGCCCAGGCAGGTTTCTGCCCTGCAGGGAGGTACGTGGGTGAGGGGCAGCCGGAGGGGTGCAGCCCAAGCAGGGGGAACCCCTCTGCAGCCCTGCACCTTGGTGGGGGAGGCTGGGGCACGCGAGGCAGGATGGGGCTGAGCGAGGAACCCACAAGGCCACGGAGGGGGTGCAGAAAAGCCCCATCCACATCCACGGGAGCTCCCGGTCAGGGCGTGCTGCCCCCTACCCAAGGCAGTGGCTGTGCTGGAGCTCATCACCGTGAGCAAAGCCTGAGCCCGCAGCCCCAGGGACGGGCCGGTGAAAATCTGGCTGTTGCCACACCAGGGATGCGGCGCACGAGGC